AATTAAGTTTTGGCCACAGGTGTATCCGTGGCAAGAAGTTGAACCTTTAGCCACACACACTCTTTCATTGTGGCTAAAACTTTCCCCCGCGACAAAAAAATGTATTTTTTAGTAGTGGCACACGCACAAAATAGCCTTTATACATCACTATCGCCACTTGGCTTGAATTACCAAAGGACCTTCGGAAGGAGATAGTAAAAAAAGTAGATGTAGATGAATTTAAGAGACTCCAACCGAAGCTCCAAAAGTTTACTTATGGATTCTACATACGTAACTATCACGAGCTAGAATTTTTTATTTAGATTGATAGATAGTAATGTATAAACTTTTGGTCTTAGGAATCTGGCCATAAAAGACCTTCATTACATCCATCATTCGCATTTTTATTCATAGCATGTTTATTTTGTGTAAATTACGCAAAAAAAAAAAAATTTGATTTAGTCATTGTAGTATACTAACCTTGTAGGATTAATTCTTTCAAAATGGATACAAGGAAAAATACAAGAAAATAGGATAAGGATTAACGCCAAGCCTAAGGTAATTTCCTACCTTTAATTTATCATATATATTACATAGAGGACTATGCCATATCTTTTTTCGGGATGAGGTAATATATTACCAAGCTTAACGTTTTCCATGTTTTATTTATGACTATAACAAGTTTTACAAAAATCCAAAAATATTTGTTTTTGTTTTAAAAGGTAGATTTGGTGATTTTCAATGATAAGAATAGATATTTAATTGCCATGATTATGAATTGCTTACATTTGAAATTCTTATATGATCATTAATATGTCAAGAGCATGTTTTATCCCTTAACATAGATTTCGTTCATGAAAACATTGACTAGCTTATGTTTGTACATATAATGTCAATTGGCATAAGTCAATTTGAAATTGATTGATCTTTTAGGAAACCCTAGAAATAGTGTGGTGATTATTTTTAACCCAGGTGAGCCTTTCTTTCTTTGGAGTGTATTTACGTACATAAGGGCCCGAGGGACCGAATTCTTGCTAAATTTTTTAGTTCATTCTTAGTCTCTTTGTTTTACTTTTCTAGTTGATTACAAGGATGAAATCATGTGGGTTTAATATAAACTTAGGTTTTGTAGTTTATATCAAGACGACTTCACCATATATTTACCTTGAAGATGATTTTTAAACAATAGAAAACCAAAAATAGCCTTTTTAGCCTACCTAAATATTATTTATCCAATTCGGAGCCCCTTTGATCTCTTATATAAGCCTTTTTCTTTGTGAAGTAATTATCCTTACCTTGAACACAAATTATTATTTCCATTACCTATCTTGCAGAAAATGTCAAGGATGACAAGTTTTACAAGGAAATGAGAAAAAAAATGTCTACAAGCTAGAAATGAAGTTAATTATACATATCAAAAAATTTGAAGATATAGTTTTTATATACTAGTCTCTCCTCTCGAATAAGAAAAATACCAAAAGAAAAATTCAAGAGAAGAGAGGAAAAGTGAAGAAGTTCCCCAAGTTACAAATCAAAGCGAAGAAATGAGTAAAGAAGGAAATTCTACAAGAGTTCTCAAAGAGTTGTTAAGTTTTGAAGACCTTTGATATTTTCGATATTTCATAAAAATCCTTTTATCACTTTTTACTTGCCAATACCTAAGCCAAGTTACAACCTATTTATGTTTAATTGATTTAAGGTTATATGTGGTGAAAAGTGGCGAGTAAATGAGAAAACGCTAAGGTGAAATACCCGACATCCTTATATGTAATCAACATTCCATTCATAAGAGACTAACTCATACAATGTTCGTTCTAGAGAAATATCATTTCTTGACAGCTTTTAAAATAATTTTTTGACAATTTTAAAAAAACTGTCAATAAGTGTGGTTTTAAACTTATTATGACGGTTTAAATAAATATTGTCAACAAGTTCTTTCAAAAAAATAATATAATGTGGGTTTTTATAAAACCGTCATACTATGATAAACAAATATTGACGGGTTTTTTAATTTCTATCAAAGTATAAAACGCCGGGATTTAACTTTTAAGTTGTAAAACTGTCAAAAAACAAAAGCCGACGTAATTAGTTTATTTCCCAAAATCTACCCTCTCACATTTAGAAATTTAGACTCCTTATTAGCAAAACCGCATCCTTCTCTGAATTCAACACCGTTTTCTGCTCGATTTCCCTTATCTTTTCTGCTATGTATCTATAAATACCTCAACGACATCGGAAAGAAAACTGTGCGCCTTACATCTTATGCTCCCAGCAGCAACGTGGGAAAGAAATTACTGCC